AAGGTCATCAGATTTTCGAGATCCAGCCGCACACGCGCTTTCCAATTAAGGCGGATTATAGTCTCACGTAATTGGGCTCGGCTGCCCCCGAGCTCACAGCTCAGGCAGGAGGTGCAGCAGCAGCACAAAGGCACTGGTGAAAAGTGGAAAGAGCGTAAGTCCAATGAAAATAACGTGGACTTACGCCGTCCTCACTTTTCACCAGTGAAGTATGCATGTTGTGCTTCGGTGAAGAAGCCGTCCAGGTTCTTGGTGGGAGGGGGTACAAATATTGTGGCCTACCCATTCAGTTCACGATGACAATTTGAGTTCATAATGCACCCACAGTATTTGCACACTGGGGTAAAAATATCACGAGATCCTTGTGGACAATTAGGGTGATACTAACCTTAAGGGAGCCCATAATATTTATATCCGTAACCCGTAGGGAACCTATAGTATCTGAACGGCTCCCGAACGGAGATTTTCAGGCGATGAGCTCATTAGTTCAATTTTTCACCAAATCTAATATTCGCCTAACGCCAGGGGTGAAGTAAGGGGCAGATAGCCGGAGGGGGGGGGGGGGTAGGGCATGTTGCGTACATTTAGGGGTTCCCAACCTTTCAGGCGGCTATCTAGGGCCAACAGGGGTTGCCTACCTTTCAGGCTGCTATCTGGGGCCGACAGGAGGGATCGGGGCTGTCGCCCCCTTAATCCGCCTGACGCGGTGTTAAAACTACGTGCACGTAGTAAAGACGTTTACAAAGCGCCCCCGCAAAGCTAGTTTTATGCATGCATGCATTATCTATTCCCCCGACCTGACTCGACATCCATCATCGCTTGCCGTGCCGCGGGAGGGTCAACGCACCTCCGGGTGGCACCCTCTTCTGGAGAGTCGCGGGTGACACATCTCAGTCCAGCGCTGCGGTGTGGCATACCCGCCTCCCCGCCCGTTCGCCCGCCGCGCCATCCGTGGTTTTTAAGGAGACCAGTCCGAATCCGCGCGACAGCAGCAGAGAACCAGGAGGCCCAGGAATAAAGGAAAAAGAGAATGGAATGGAGTGGGACAGGTCCTATTCCTAGCGGGGCATGGCACGCTCACGTGGGCCTCCATGTGCTCGCGGTCCCCCTCCTGCCCTCGCCCTCCCCCCTCCCGGAGGAGCGCCGCGCCCAATGGTGCTCCCCCCGGTCCGAGCTCCGGGCTCCGGGACCCTCCCTCCTCCAATAGAGCAACAGTGCGGACCCCGAATTAATATCTCATCTCATCTTCGCCTAGGCCGGGTGGAAAACTCCGCCGCCATGCTGCTGCTTGTTGAGCTTAGTTAGCTGAGTCAATAAATCACGATTTTTGCACAACCTCCCCGGCGACAATCTTGCTGGCCGGCCCCGGCAACCCGCCCGCGTACAGTAAGCTGACTCCGTGCCGCTCCGTGCACATTCATTTTACTTTTTAAGGGGTCCACGTTACCGCCCGACGCCTCTTTCTGTGCCTGCCTTTTCCTCTTGAGGTAAAGAGACATTCTCACTGCTCGGGTGCTAAGATTGAGTTTGAATTGCCCGCTGGCCGAGTAAGTATGTGGGATCAGGCTCACTAAACCGCACCTTCGAGGCTGCCAGGTGCGTCCAAATGGCTTTCGATCGCCCCCCCCCCTCTCTCTCTCTCTCTCTCTCTCTCTCTCTCTCTCTGGCAACACACCACAAGTCCCCCAGGTGGTATGTGGCAGAGCTAGCCAAATTCAGGGACTCGACTGAAGGCAATTTCGACAACGTGAAGAGGTCCGGCCGGGCGAGTCCTTGGTGTGCCTAGGCAGGGTGGAAGGGTCACAACCTTGCTCCATCCGACCCGCAGGGCTCACGCAGGAAAATTCCACTTGGCAGCCAGCGTGGAAAAGGACCGGACCAGACACTGCAATAGGCCGTGGAGCCGGGCGGGGCGGGGCGGGGCGGGGCGGAGTCCGGCCGCGGGCCTGACGGGCCAGGTCCGCGGACCGCGCGGCTGCCCACTGGCCGCCTGGCAAGCCGCTGCTTGGGGTCTTTCCATTCATAAGTTATGTCGGAGTCCGCGCCGAGCCTACAAGCTCTCTACGCTCGCCGCGCTCCTTACCGTTCTTCTTGTTCTGCTCGCCGGTTGGCTGACTGCTCAGGTTGCGCCTCACAGGCCCCGGACAAGGGCCCGTCGTGGAGCTGCTTGTGCGCATGAGTTTCCGCAATAAAGGGGCCCTTCGAGTTAGACCAGGGGAATCTTTCTGGAAGTGTTCGTCCGCTCTTCCGCCGTTACTAAACTGCTAAGTGAAGCCAATGCAATGCTCCCTTAGCGCCTGATGGGTAGGCAGCATCTTGTCTGCAGTGCATGCATGTACAGCGGGGTGGCCTACCCCGAGTGTCGCAGGCGCCACGAGAGAGCTTCGGTCATTTTTAAATAACGAACCTGAGAAAAACGAATCTCTCTATCTCTTTCTCTCTCTTTCCCTGCTCTCTCTCTTTCTCTTTTCCTCGCTCCTCCGGGCTTGGAGACGGGCCCTTGCATAATGCCGCACGCCCTTTTGCATTCCGGCCGAGGACAACACACGCGGCCGCGGGCAGAGGGGGAGGGGGAGGGGGAGGGGCAAGTGACAAGGCGACCGCTGGGGCGAGGAAGGCGCAGGAGATTATCATCGAGGCAGCGCGGGGCTGGGAATAACTCCCGTCGATGCATTAAAATGATGACATTGTTTCGGACAGGGTGTACTACTTCTTGTAATGTGTACAACGTCTCGAGGTCGAGTTCGCGGCGGCTGACCGGGCCGAGAAAAGGGCGGCGGACATCGAGCCGCCGCCACCGCCTCTGACGTCTTTCGGTATATACGATGAGCGTATTACCAGAGAGGTTTTACCGTAAAAAGGAAAAGGTGCGCTTCGAGATCGGGTCGCAAAGAAAGCAAAAGCGAGGGACGGCGGTGCAGACGGTCGGTCTTGCAGCGCAGTGGGAGTGGGACGGAGGACGGCGGCGGCGGCCAGGGGATCCGACCCGGCTGCTTAATCGAAAAAATAAGGTGGTCGTGGCGGTACAGGTGCACTGGTGCTGCTGCGGCAGCGGTGGCAGCGGCCGTGACTGGAGCCGGCCGTTGCAAAAGCCGTGCCCCGGAAGGAAAAGATGTATGTGTTTGTGTTAGTCGTCGGTTAGGTAGGCGAGCTCCGTTGCCGCCCTGAAGGGCTTGTGCGAGCCTTCCCTGCAAGGAGAGATATAAATCGCGTACGCCCAAGGCCCAAGGTTACCACATTGTGACTCCATTTAATTTAATTTTTTAAGTCCTTTTGACCTCTAGGGTTTTTTTTTCTAGGAGAGCGTTGAGAGTAGTTCAAGATCACGTGTCTCTGTGAAAGTTTTTTGATGTGTTATTTTTAAGACTATAAAATACAAGGTAGATGTACGCCAGACCACGTCTCGCGTAACAGGCTTCGCGATA